TATTTCTAAATATTTTAATAATTTTGTAATTATAAATTTTAATTCATTAATAAATTAATTATTTAATATCAATTATTACAAATAAGAATGATTATGTGTAACCATTTGAAAATCAAAAATTAGAATACATTTAACTTTTAAGTCATGTCATTAAGAAGCAGATAAAAATAATTAAAATAAAACAAATAATAAAATTTTAATATTGAAAAAAGTTCAACTGTTATAAGTTTGTTGTAAGTGTAACAATTGTATTTTAAAACTTTATTTTAAGCTAATCAACAAATGTCTTTAGATAAATTATTTAAATGTTAAGAGGATATGAGCTCACTTTTTTTCTCTAATCTAACATAACAACATTTGCATTCAACAGAACCAATCTTACGTTTTTTCCATTAATATCAAATTAGCCTTATTATAAAATTAAAGTTAATGATATTGTATATGTTTGAATGTTGAATTTTTTTACCATATTTTAATTATAAATATAAAAAATCAAAACATCATCAGACAATTTTATTTAATAGACTCCATGTCAAGTGTCAACTATAACTTATAGCAGCTGTTGCCTCACTTGCCTGTTATAATTGTGATAGTAAAAATAAATTACAAACAAGAATAAATTATTATCATATAAAATAACATAATCAATTAGTAATTTTATTTATATGAATAATTTCATTTAGATACAATTAACAACAATTTCTGTGAAATAAATTAAACATTAATTTTAATTTGAAAAAGTATTTTTTATTTATAGTCGATTCAATAATTCGAAGTAAATGCTCGAACCCTTAAAAATCACCCAGTAATTCGAAATTAAAATTTGGAAAAACTAAACACTAACATGTGACAATTTGAATTATCATCTGTTCAACGCTCAGTAATTTGAAGTATATTCATCAAATTTAAAAATGATAAAAATAAAATGAAACTAAATTCGATGAAGCAAAAAACCATTAAAGATTTCTTAAAAAAAAAACTTTTTTTTTAATAATTAAATTTACATAGTATAATATTTTAAAGCCGTGTCCACACCTGAGCACGCACAGACCGAGCATATGTGCTCATGCCGAGTCAACCGACTCGGCTCACGTTTGCTGTGCGTCAAAATCATGCAAATTTGTAGAACGCGCAACATGAGCACACATGCTTGGTTCTGTGCGTGCTCAAGTGTGCACGCGGCTTTAGGTAAATTATTTAATTTATAATTTTAAAACAAAATAAAAATCTAATATATACCATTAGATTTGCTGAAATAATTAATAATTATGTACATACATCCACCGTACAAATTAATATCCATTTTAACTATTAAACATTGAGAATAATTGATAATTTTTTATTTCTAGGTTGGTTTAACAACATTTTTGGACACTATTAGAGTTAACGTAGTGAAAAAACATTCAAACGTATCTAGCGTTTGGCATCCTGAACTTGGTTGGTTTACAGCAAATTCTAACTGTCAATGTTCTCCTAATATACCTCCTTTAAAAAATCAATTGATTCCATTATGGTGTGGAACTTTATGTTCCAAGTTACTACGGTGTCATCTGATTAATGCTCTAGCACAAATACCCGAAAATCAACAAGTACCTTCACCTCCTCCTAAAACAAATAATCCAATAGCAATAATCAAGTAACTATTTTACTATTAAAATTATTTTAAACTATTCTCAAATAATAATTATTATTCATAATAGAAAGGCATTTGATTTGAGACTATCAAGCACCAGTCAACCAAGTTATAAACTTACAGGAATTCATGGTACAAAGGTAGTTGCTGCTTGCAACTTATATTTTACATGTCTCAAAACAATCACACAGCTTAGACTAGATATAATAACTGGTAAACATATTATTGTTCAATATTTATTTAGAAATTTAAATTAATAAATATCTTCTTATATTTTTAGGTTTATGTTATCATGAAGACACATTATATTTATTATGGAGGTTTTTGGCGTTTTTAGATTCTCATTGTGGTCTCAAGAACCTGTTGGATATTTTAGAATATGATAAAAATTGCAATTCAGGAGAATTGCGMATGTTACAACTATTCTGTGATAGTATGTCACATTACATAACGTAAGTAAAAATTTGTTAGAAAAATAATTTATTCATCAAATTTAAAATATTAATATTTATTATTTATTTCAGTATTCTTGATGATATAGAAATGTATGAACAACAAAAACCATTTGTGATGCGTGACTATATTTTAATGTCTAGTTTTTTGAACATATTTCTCTATAAAGGAATATCTCAGAATTTATTTGGTAAGAAATCGATTTTATTTTTACTTTTAATTATATTATTTATAATTATATAAAAATATATTTTTTGTTTTGGATAACTTAGATATTCAAGATACAGCTTCTTCATCATATAGCTTTTTTCGGTCTTGTCGCACGCTTTTAATGGTACTTTATCGCAGAGATTGTCGTAGATCATTTGCACCTGTAGGGCACTGGCTGATTGGTGATCTTAAAACTTCTTCATTTTTTAATGAACTTAAAAAGGGCCGTAAAATATACTCGGTATTGAATTGTTAGATTTTTAATTTATTTAGATAACTATTAATAATATTAAATGTATTTAGATTTTAATTCAAGAAATCCCTCATATAGTCTCTCATGAAACACGTGTCCGATTATTTAGAAAATATGTTTCTCGTGAAAAGTTTGCTTTAGGTGTACATGAATTACATGATAACGACAATTTTATGCCACCAATCATTACTATACGGAGGTAAAATAAGTTTTATGAAATAATTTTAAAGAAGTTATTGAAATTTTTATAAAAAATATGTAGGAATCGAATAATTGAAGATGGTTATACACATATTTCTGAATTGTCATTGAAACGTTTCAAAGGTGTTATTAGAGTAAAATTCATAAACGAACAGGGATTAGATGAAGCAGGAATTGATCAAGATGGTGTATTTAAAGGTCTGTCTTAAAAAACTTGAAATTCAATATTTTAAATATTAACAATAAATTAATATTTACAGAATTTCTTGAAGAAACTATTAAGAGAGTATTTGATCCATCGTTAAATTTATTTCGTACTACAGATGAACAAAGATTATATCCGTCACCATCATCATATATTCAAGAAAACCATCTGAACTTATTTGAATTTGTTGGCCGAATTTTGGGTAAAGCTGTTTATGAGGTAATTATTTTAGACAATTCATTTAAATTATTTAATTTAATAAAATATAAATGTATATTATATTTCATAGGGTATTGTTGTTGAAGTTCCATTTGCATCATTCTTTTTAAGTCAATTATTAGGACAAACTCAAGAGTTACTTTATAGTTCAATGGATGAGTTACCTTCATTAGACAATGACTTATATAGAAATTTAACATCCGTCAAACATTATGAGGKTGATGTTTCAGAATTAGATTTAACTTTTTCTGTAGTTGATAATCACCTTGGTCAATTAACTACTCACGATCTTATACCTGGTGGAAGAGTCATATCAGTTACTAATCAAAACAAGTAAAATTACTATTATTTATCATTTTTATTTATTTATATCATAGACATATTATGATAATAATATGTCTATGATTTATATATACACTTATGTTATGATAAAGATGGTAAAATAGTATTATCAATAATAACATAACATAATATGTATGTATTCTTGCATATCCATATTCATACTTGTTTAGTAAATATTGTAAATTAGAAGTTGCGTATACATATTTTTTATATGAGGGAAAGGGATCAGTAAAAAAATGTTAAAGATATATCAAATATTTTACCTRCACATTAACAAATAAAAATATTATATTTAATGAATTTTATTTTAAAACTGCTAACAAGGTGTAA